ATCTAGCTGGGTACAGGGCAATTTCAATGGTCCATTGGTACCAATGATGCAATTGGTACCAACAGAAAAGCACGTCATTCAAATGGTTCTATTGGTGAATATGCATCCCATTAAGGGGATTAAGATTATTTTCCATGTGATCTAACTGGGTACAGGGCAATTCCGATGGTCCTTTGGTACTAATGGTGCGATTGGTACCAATAGAAAAGGATGCCATTCCAATGGTTCTATTGATGAAAATGCATCTCATTAAGGTCACTTAGATTATTTTCTCATGTGGCCTGGCAGGGTACAGGGTAATTCCGACGGTCCATTGGTACCAATGGTATGATTGGTACCAATAGAAAATATCATTCCAATGGCTCTATTGGTGAATATGCATCTCATTAAGGGCACTTGACTTAGATTATCATGGCCTAAGGATACTCGCTTAATATTCTAGAAGAAGCCAATGGGTGACAAGGAGACATTCAAACCTCCGCTGTTTTTCCAAGGCAACAGGTGCAATCCTGAAATCATCAGTAGATTGATTCTTCTCGCTCAGTCCTGGGCCTCATCACAAGCTACAGCCCAGAAAAGAGAGCGCCAAATACAATTTGTCAACAACAACGTTGACAGTAAAAGACATCAATGGTTTTACTACGACCTTGATTATAGGAAACTATTGTACCTCAAAGGGTTACCACGACAAGCCCCACGACAGCAGTGAAAAGTGACTTCAGTCTCTTGAATATAACACGGCTCTTTTAGGAGCCACCAAATACAATACAAAGAACCACCCTTTTTGAAAGCCCTTCATTGAACACAGTGTTTTGGTTTAAACACTTCCATGTAGATAATGATATTGCAATAAGTTTCCGAAGTTAATTTTCACAGTGAGCGGAGTACAGTTGTTAAAACCTGTAGCCTCAATATCACTTTGTTAGTTTCGCGCCTTTCCACATTGTTTCCGGTTCTTTTAAAGAAGTAAGAATCACCAACAAATAGTGCTCGCATATAAGAAAGAAGACATTCACATGTCACATTGTTGTTTCCTCGTGAATCGCAATTATCTCGTTGAATCATGAGTTTAGCGCGACGAATCCTTTGGAAGTATTGTCAGTGATGCCCTGATGAGTACCCTTGGAACTGAGGAAGAAAGCTGCAGTGAGTTTGTTCATGAAAATGCATCACAAGATTTGCCGCAACCCTTGCCAGCCCTTCAGCTACTCCCATCACTTTTCAGGCTAACCAGCGAGTATCATCATATCCAGCCACCTTCCAGTCACAGTAAGCGTACGTGTCCCAGCCCGTCCCATGAGCTCCACTGCAATCCACTGAACCAAATTTTCCAGAGCAAAAGCTTTCTTTGAGTGGACAACGTATGCTTTTGCCTGCGCCAACATTCTGTTCAGCGAAGAAGAACTAGCTAAAGGCAACACGGAACAGAAGTAAGAGGATTTCAACAGCTAGACTGCTATAAAATGCACCTGATTATGTCAACTCTGCAGCACAAGTTTGATTCGCCAGTCTTAATATAACAATGGGAACAAGTGAAAGGAAAAATTAACACCAAGCACCGAGGAAAACGAAGGACACTAGTACAGAGGTTAAAAAAGGAAACGTTACGTAAAACATTTCCTTAGTTGCTTTTTTTAATCGACTTACATATGTGGATTTAGTGCGCATTTCTTGTTGTAAAGCATTTTCAAATTTCATTAACATAATCTATCTTGTTATAACCATTAGATAAGTGTTTTCTCAGTTTTACTGTTTAATTTTTGTATTAAGATTTCTTGCCCTTTATTCAATAGACATCTAAATATCAATGTTGTCATCAAGTAGGCCGTATTTTTCGGCATTATTTCCCAGTTTCTGCAATATTAAAAAAGTCTCTTAAAGTCAGTTACATTTTTCTGTCGTTTTATTGCATATCGTATCAACACTGAATCGTGGAATCGTTTTTATGTGTAGGCAATAAAAATGTAATTTTCACGTTTGTGGAGAGGAGCATTTCATGATGAGTTCGATGTCAAATACTTCTTTGGTTTCAATTAATAGGTGCCGATTTTTTTTCCGTTTAAAGGCTACATGCACAGCACCAAAATGAAACCTAATTGCTTTTAGCTCTACAAGAATTTAATTTTAGCACCAGCCGTTGGAACTCTATTTGGTAAACAAACCCAGTCACAACGCGATAGTGTGTTTGGCTTGCAGTAATCAGTTATTTCGGAACGCTAATTGTTTTCAATTTCATTTAACTACGTGAATTTAATAGCATAGATTAGAAATCGATGAATATTTTCAGATAAATTACATTGCGAATCTCTGGTACGGTCAACATTTCTTTTTTTGAAGAAAGAAAACATGAAGGCCACGCAATGACACAGAAACCTGACAGTTAACGCTCGATTACATTACAGATCGTGATAAACAAGGAAACTGTGACTTAAAAGAGTCTCAAGTTTATAATTTCAAGTAAGTTCTTTCATTCAACATTTCCAAGTACTTTTCAAAGGGTCGGTAAAAAACCATTGGCTAATTTTAAGGCGACCAAGGCCAATTTTTTAGGCCATTTAACTTCCCTTGCGATCAGGATGAAGTTGAGTCCTAACTTTTCTAAGAGAACGTTTCGTTCAAATTAGTTGATCAAGTGGGGAACTGGGAAATTCTGCCATCCTATCAAGATAATGAAGGTCTACTTCGACTTAATTCCTCTGTTTGCACGGATAATTTGTGACAGGATTCCTGCATTCACGTCTTTCAAAGACGTTGTTCTCAGGAATATTCCCCACAAACACACTGGTGTAACGAAACAGAAATCTGAACGGGTTATTTGCCATTTTTAACCAGTTACGCAACATTTCATGGTCGAAATTCTCTAAGACATATGCCTCAATTTTTGCTCCTCATTATTATTATTAGGATTATTACATATTACGATTATTTTTATTTGAAAGCAGTGAGGCAGCATAAAGACTGCTATTATATTTTACTAATGCTAGAAATGCTTTCTCCTTGCTACTGGTTTGTGCACTTTACAAAATTAATGTAAGTTTCATTAACCTTTTTATTTGATAACAATGTCTCCATATTTGTACTGAATGGCTGCGGCAGCACTTTGGGACTTAACCAAGTTATTTCCGATTAACTAATTGAAATTAACTCGTTTAAAAAAGCTGCAAGTGCGGCCGAGTTTTCTACAATCTTAACCGGGTTCTAACCAAATTTTGCAAACCAGCAAGATCAATCGATTTTCTTAACTAGGTTAGGTCTTTTTCAACCACCTTCCAAGGTAGTTTAATGCAGGTGGTAAAGGCCACAATACCTCTTTGGGCTTGAGGTTAGAACACTTAGAACACTTCAATAATCTCTTGAAGAAGATCCTAAGGTGTCTACGTGTCAATGTGATGGAAAAATCAGCTAAATGAGACAGCTAAGCGATTTCAATAATTAGAACAAATGCTGCACAAGATTGATGCAGAGATAGGTGTCAAGGAGCCTCCTGGGCACAACAACACAGCCAATAATGACCCAGGATTTTGCAGCCCTTATGAAAGAAATACACAAAAGAGGGGGGCTTTTCTCTTTCAACCCATCTTCTGAACGTAACTATGACAAATTTGAAGATTTTCAAAGGAACATCTTAAGTGGGCTGGACTTCAATCAGCTTAACAAGTGGTTGAAGAGTCACAAGAAAGACATGTCCTGTCTTCAAAAGTGAAGGACTTGGACGGTGGAATGAACTGTTTGAATTACACATGGACCCTTGATTCAGAAGAAACAAATGAGAGAGAGAACACCCTATTCTCAAGCATGTTTATTTTCAAGACCGTTTACAGGCCCGTGTTCACCCAAACAGCATTGCGTGCTTGTGTTATTGTTTTGAAATGCATCTTCTGTCAAATGCACTGTTTTGGTTGGCTTCCGCTTTTGACGAGCGTTGCATGACGATACTAAAAACAACAGCAAGGGAGACTACCTTTTTTCACGCTTGGCGGAAGCATAAAGAGACAGTATCAAAGAGGCCAGTAAGACTTTAATTCTTTTCCAAATGGAGGAAGATAAATTGCCAACTTCGTTAACTGTCACCGGAGAAAGTTTAAATTGGTAGTGAATGCGTATGGATGCTTTGTTGAGTCCGATAAACACAACGAAGATCATAAAATTACAAAACGTCTAAGCACCAGGTGAGATTTTCTTGAAGCCTGATTCGACTGTGAAATGTTGTGATTCCTTAATCTATCATTTTGTGTTAATTCTTAGGAAGCTTAGGTATCTGTTCTTGTAAGAATGAGCGCGAAATTGTCTTTGCAAAGCGTCAAATCAGCACTGCGTACACCCGTCTCCGTAATCTCTGTGTTACACTCTCCTTAGGTTTTGATAAGGATTGGTTTGCTAATAATAGGCGGGTTCATACTAGCGAAGTAAGTAGACCTTAAGTATACTTGAATCTTACTTTAGATGTGAACGGGTCGAATTTCAACTCAAGTAGCCTACTTTGTGCCCATGGTAACACGTTGACTTCAAAGAAACCGAAGTACACTCTCAAGTCTAGTTTCAACTATCCTTATCAGCTAACTTACGCTTTATCTAAACACATTCCGGAAGGATACGTCAATCAAACATGTTAAAGTGTTGGAGAATCACAACATAAGAGCACGCTAACACGCAAACGTTGTCTGTCGATTGCATTGCCTGTTAGCTTATTCAATCGCGAAATGAATCCGTTTAGATCCTCTTACCAAGCCATGGATGACGACTATTTAGTCCAAGGTCTTATGTAACTATTCACGTTTTTGTAAAATGTAAGAGTGAAATTTATAAAATTTGCGAAGCAGGCCCAGAGGCTGACGCAATTAACCTGCACTCGTGTCTTCTTCAACAGAAACAACTTGAACCAGCGTTTTGCAAGCCGAGTAAATTCTCCTGAACATTCACAACCGCCTATGGTTGGTAGACAGTTATGGCCCTTTCCTTCGACCAGCAACTCTTTTTATCGGCCTTCCGAGTTGACACGTATGCAGTTTCATGAACAGCAGCTTGAAGATTCATCTCACCTCAGCACGATCCACAACATCTCTGACGTGTCAAGAGCGCAATCGCCCATCTCTGTAGCAAGCACTGCAAGCACTGCAAGCACTTCATCTTTACAGTCAGAGGAGGAAACGCCAAAGGGTAAGACAAAGAAAGCTAGATCGAAGTCGGCTGATTGGACCGAAAACGAGACTCAAGATCTTTTGGAAGCGTGGGGGCCCAGGTATAACCAGCTTCGAAGTGCCTCTCAAAAGGAAAAGATCAAAATATGGAATGAAATTTATTCATTTTACAAGAATGCCTTTCCCGAGAGCCAGAGAACCCTTCAACAGATCAAGAAACGCCAACAGAATTTGGAGTACCAGTATGAACACCTAAAACAGCGAACTCAGAAGACCGGAGAAGCTGGAATAAAAATCATCAAAGATGGCTTTCCATATTTTGATTATTTTGACGAAGTAATGGGGCATCGCGACTGCGTAAATCCGGCAAAAATGGCCGTTGAAGGAAGCTCCATCTTTACTAGTACAGAGCAGAAAGGAGGCTCAGTAGAAAGTGAAGATGTTCCGGAGGAAAGCAGTCCACCAGCCTCAAATCCGAGCGCAAACTCTGGCAAAAAGAAGGCAGACGACAAGCCCGCAGAAAAGAGTTGCCGTAAGGGAAAACTACGGCGTCGAGATGAGCCAGAACCGAGTGGATCTTCTGCAGGTGAATTCCAGACAGCCTTTATGGAAATGTGGAAGCGTAGTATTGAACAAGATAACGAGAGATTTGAACGTTCTGCTGAAATGTTTCGCGAGGCCCAGAACAAGCAAATGGATCAAACAAACGCTATACTTACAGGTTTTAAAGACATTTTCAAAGACTTGCTGTCAAAGTAGAACAGAAAATGAGTTAACTTTCTTTACCTTTAGAGATTTATACATCACATTTGTTCAATCCAAGAAAAATGTTATTATTTTCTCTCTTAATTTAATCATGTTAGTACCGGCAGTGACTCATATATAATCTGAAGTTGTAAAGAAAAAACAACCTTGTAACAGAACAGGGATTGATTTATGCTTCAAGTTTTTATGTGAAACAGCAAAGAAGACTATAAAAAGTTTACCGTATCATTAATTTACAGGTTTTCCCACACATAGTCTTTTAACGTATCTCGAATATTGTTGCCGGTTTCAAAAGCATTTCGCCCTCCGTTGTCATCATCAGAGCCATCGTCTGAGTCGCTATCGTCTGCGTCGTGTAGGTCTCCTCTTTCAATGCAAATATTGTGTAAAATACAAGCTGCAATTACAGTCTTCTTCAAAGTTGTCGTTTTTTGTTCAATTTTCTTCAAAATAATCCTCCATCTTGATTTAAGCATGCCAAAAGCTCTTTCCACTACGCATCTCAGTGCGCTGAACTTAAGATTGAATTTCCTCTGCTCGGCAGTTAAACGACCTCTATCAGGGAAGGGTTTCATGAGCCAGTTTGTGAGCGGATAGGCACTGTCTCCAGCTAAAAGAGGACCGATTTCTGTTCCATTGATATTTCGCATTGGACCACTAAGAATTTGCTCATTTTCGGCGAAATCGTACAAGCCACTTGGCCTTAAAACTCGAGCATCATGTATACTTCCAGGGTACCCAACAGTAGCATGAATGAACTTCAATTTGGCATCGACTATGGCCTGTAGATTTACACTGTAGTGCTGCTTTCGATTAAAATAATCTTCGTGATTCTTTGGTGGAGCATTTATTTCTATGTGACACCCATCGATCGCTCCAACTATTTGCGGTATTCCGTACAGCTCCTCAAACTCCTCAATTTTCTCTCCAATTTCCTCATTTGTTAAAGGAAATGTTATAAAACGATCTTTTGGATCAAAAACAGCTTGCTCGAACTCACTACAGATGATTTTCGCTGTTGACTTTCCTAATCCAAACTGTAACCCACAACTTCTGTAACTGTTCCCTGTTGCCAGTCGCCAGAGTGCTAGGCCAACTCTTTCCTCCACGCTAACAGGGACTCGGAATCTTGTGTCCTGCTTTTGCAGGTTTGCTCTCACAAGGTCGCATAAGTATTCAAATGTTTCTCGGGTAACCCTGAAATGTTCCTTCCAAAGAAAATTTAGTGCAGGACTTGCCAGTAATTTTTTGAACCAGTTCTGGGGACGTGCCCAAACTCAAGCTCTTCTTCTGCGTCGCACGTTTTGTTGTCTCATTTGGGCCATGAACATCAGCAACATTTGTCTGTTTCTCCGTCTCACTCTAAATTCTTCCTCTGTGACGAGAAAGTGGTAAAATTGCTGTAATAGCAAAGCTCTCTGTCGTTGCAGTAAGAAAATTATGAGGAACACAAGGTAAGCAATTCGAAGTTTTCGAGGTTGCATGTTGTGCTTATGTTTTGTGCATATCGCAGTTAAAATCCTAATCACGCTATTTCATGCACGCGAAATTTTCCCGCGTAACTTGATTGACAACCCCGATTGCTTCAAGCATACTTTGAATTCTAAATGTGAACGCTTATCACGGTAAGAAAACATACATGTTCTCAAGTGTACTTGGGCTCCTGCTGTACTTACGGTCTACTTACTTCGCTAGTATGAACCCACCTAATAGTTCTTGCTACTTTAGAGCTTTAATCGTGATACGCCAGGATACGCCAGATGCTAAGTTTACGTTAAGGATATCACTCGCTTCATAGGTTAAATTAAATAAAGCATTGTTCATGTTAGATTGACTCGCTTGTTTTGCTTTCAACTGATTTCAACAGGACCTCTGTTTACAATTGCACATTCAATGTAGAAAGAACTCGGCAAACATGGTGTCCGTACAATTTGCAGCCAAGAGCTTCTTTCCCATCTGTCCAGAGATTAAAAAAATGGATTCACGGAGACTAATGTATTTCGGCGACCCCGTCGAAGCGTTCTTCCAACCATACGTTTTGATGGCACCGCCATCGAAAGTTCTGCAGTGAAACAAACAAAAACAAAACGGCTCGATACCAGACCACAATATCCAAAAAGATGTAAAGAAAAATACCACGAGAACCTGTTTAGACTTTCTTTTACACCAGATTTAACAGACTGTGGAAGATTTACAAAGATTGACTCTACACACTGAACGCAGTGATTTTCAACTAAGCGAAATGTTTTTTCTGGAGTACAGGGTGCACAATGCATCTAGGGTGAACATGGGCCTTTAAAACATATCTGATGTACATGTCATAAAACATAAAACACACTGCTGTTAAAGGTTTTCCTTCAGCTTAGCTTACTCGATGCCTGGAAAAATTTGGCACAAATCACCCCTGATGCTACCCAATTCTGGCAGCAGGGTCGATTTGAGACAAAACCTGAAACTGAAATCTGTGCATGAATAGATGATGTTTACTTAACTGCGTTGATTGGCAGGGCTAGCTGGATCAAAAATATGTCCAATATTCTAAATGGTGCACTTCAACAAAGTCAAAAATGCTTTCTCTAACAGAAGTAAGTTATTACTATAACTCAGAATCTGTGAAAAAGTCAGTGTCACTGCCTTCACTGCTGTTATAGATTCCACCATATTCAAGGCCAAATGTCTCAACAAGTTGATTGTCAGCGCCAGTCAGTGTCTCATCATTAACCTCAAAATCTTCAAAAGAATCTCTAACCACATGAATGATGCTACAACCATGCTTTTTTTGGAAACAGGCAAATTCTCCATTATGTAATCTACATTAAAAATGTACTTACAATGGGACAGCACTGTCTTTTTTCAGATTATCGCTAAATCCAGTTGTGCACTCAGGAAACAGGTAATAGACTGAGCACTTAGAGAAGAGTTCCCTTTGCCTGTCTCTTAACAATTCTTCAAGCAGTACCCTCTGTTGAAAGGTAGTCTTTCTTTTCTTCAAAGACTCTTTTGGAGGAACCCCTCACTTGAGAAATGTTTTGAGTAAACGGTATATCAATGTTGCACTTTAAAAAGAATAAGGTTAATAATTGAATTTATTTTTCAAACTCCATTTCACAATCTCCCTTTTAACAATGGAAATCCACATGCAAATGAAGACGTAAAAGAAACAGAAGGTGGTCTGCAGGGAATTATGTTGCTCATTACCAAATTAGCTGTCTAGTCGAGTTAAATCACTAAGTAATTAGTTCCTGAACCCCACATTCATATGAGAAGGCAGGTTTAGCATGAAGAAAGTAAACTCATTATGCTACATTTATCTTTATTACTTTATCATGCTTTAAACTTTATTAAGAAATAGTTTGCCAGTAATAGTAATATTGTGACATGTTTTAATGAACAGTGTTTTTTTTTTGTTTTTTACCTTAAGAGTGTAATAATTTTTATTATATGCAGGAAGCAAAAGCAAGCAAATTGGTCTCAATTGAACAGGATTTGATAGTAGGAATTGACCAAAAACTGGACAAGATCATAAACATTTTTGAAAGAATTGCTGACCAGAAGGAACAAAAGGTAGTCTTCAGGGAATTATCCTGTTCATCACCGACTCAGCTGTCTAGTCGAGTTAAATCAGCAAGTAATTAGTTACAAAATCACACATTCATACGAGAAGAATAAATGTGTTATGAAACTTTATACCAGTAATCACCTTCCCTGTTAAGTACAATGAAGAATATTGTACCCCATATAAAAAAAAGGTTGATGCCACTAAGGATAATTGTTCATCATCGTTTTTTCCCATTTGATTCATCATCAAAGTTTATATGGGCTGTAGTGCCATAATTATATAATGCACATTTTTCCGTTCCATGATTCTGCACTACTGAGTCTTGTCGTTAATAAAATCTTTACTTCGTTTAGTCGAGTATTTTTTCCCGTACTTAATGTACTTGTACAGTGTGGCAAATTTCAAAAAAACTGCCAAAGACTTTAAGTCTGATGTTTAGTGTTAAGGTGTCTTTCTTTGTAAAGCTCAATAAAAGGATGAACTATCAATTTTCTTTAAAAAGCAACATAATTCTAAGCTTCATTGGCCTTTTTCAGCACAAGCTACAAAAAGGTAAACTTGACGTGATTTCAGCCTAGTTCCAAAATAAGTTCACCTTGAAAAGGACACAATTCAAAGACAACAGCCACATAAACAAGTTAACCAGAAGAACATTTAAACTAGAAGATAAAGTCTCTTGAGCAAATGGTATTGTTGATGCAAGCAACAAATCCATTATCACATTATAAAGCATGAAGAATGCCTCTGTACAAACATGAATATACACAGATATCCAACACTGTGTTTCCCAAGAAATTCACTCAACCCAGCATCAAAATCACACCAATAACCACCGCACTGTTCCCCTGCTTAGGGAATATTAAATTTGCCAAACGTTTGTGCAAAATACTGAAGCTACTAAGTGTTTTACACTTTTCATAAATAAACTTCACTGCTAACACCTTCATACTGTAACCTACATTAATAAAACCTTTAAAGCACAGTGTAACAGCTTTAGCGACTAGGCAAGTCAGAAGTCTCAAATTTCATTTCATAAGGGCATTTTTGAAAAACGAGCAGTAACATATTTGTCACTTTTGGTAAAACTGCAAACTAATCTTATTAAGCTTAGAAATTTTAACTGAAAAGTGGGAATTTATGTCCTTTTTTCTTTTTTAACGACTACCACAATAACTAGCCCTGTTGTTGTAAAAACTAAACCAGCCAAAGGAAAAAAAATCAACCACATCATCAAATCAAAGTAAGTAATGCGCAAAAATTATCTTTGACACACTATTTATTTTCTTTACTTATTTTCCATCTTACATAGAAGTAAGATATGCGAAAATTTAGCTGAATCACAAGCAGCTCCATCACGGAGAACTTGAACATTCCAAGTAACACAAGATACATCCACAATAAGAAAAGTGAGTTCCACTCAGTCCATCAGTGGAGG